CACAGGCTCTCTAGTGACATAGTGTTTCTCCAGGAGACGCACCTATCACATTCCACTAATACACGTTTGTACTCCTACCGATATCCTACCTGGTATTACAGTCCCTCGGACTCTAATAGGGCAAGGGGAGTTGCCATTGGTGTTCGCAGAGCCGCACAGAGTGCCGCACGCGAGAGGGGGGAGGGGCAGGACGCCCTCCCGCTCCTAGCCGACTCCCGTCCGGCCGTTCACAAACGGCCATGGACAGAAGGTGGTTAAGGCAAGCGTGCTCTAATATGCAAGTATGCTGTGCGCTTTTTAATTTTCTGAAAAGCAGTGTAGAGGAAAAAAAAATGCTACTTACAATTTATTTTATGTCGTACAATATTTGCACAAAATGTCTATCAAATCAGTATTTTTAAGAAAAATTACACTAAAATGAATTTTAGTGCACACAAACACAAAACCCATTTTTTTGTAAAATATAATAGATGGGTAAATAGATACCAAGCATGTCAAACCTTAAAACTGCAAACAACTGTACCCAAAATTGTCCATAGGCAATGCTGTGAAACCCTTTACTGCTCAATAATTTAGTGTTAACAGTAAGTGATGGCTCTAGAATTATTGCTCTTACTCCAACGTTCAATAGCAATATGTAACATGTGGCACAATCGATAGGTTGCGGTATGTTTGCGGTTGTATGTGCATGGGGGTGGAAAGCTGTACATTTTTTGGGTTCTTTAATTTTTTTAATAAAACTTTAATGCTATCAAAAAGGTGGCTAACAAGCCCCCCACGTGATGGGTCTTCTTTATGGAGACATTAGGGGTCTACCAGATCCCTAATATCACCTATGGACCCCACAGATAGTGCTTCACCAGCTTCTTATCTGGCCACAGCAGCAGTAGAAATGCCTGTCTGAAACAGGTAAATGACGATATCCTTGTGGCTTCTGGGTTCGGTAACTTAAATCAAACAGCGGATTTGTGCTGATCTCCCTCTACAGACACCTGCTCTGCCAGTCCCTGGCAGCAAGAGG